TGTGTGTGTGTGTGTGTGTGTGTGTGTGTGTGTGTGTGTGTGTGTGTGTGTGTCTGTGGGAATACCCCTATCAGTGGCTCTCCCTCACAGCCTCACACTTGACCTGGCTATGGCTACTCTCTAAGGGCTGCCAGCGCGGTATACTTCTAATACCAGACTGAGCCAACTAAACAGCACAAGTCACAGCATCTCCAAACAGCACACTTGGAAGCATCCCAGAATAGCACAGCAGTGCTTCCGCCGAGTTGTGGTTGTTCTTCTCCTTCTCCTTCTCTTGCAGCTGTGACCACCCTCTCCTTTAGGGTGCTATCCAGAGAACCTCTTTTTCTCACCTTGAAGGCCAAAAGGGCAAAGCAGCATACATCTACGCTTTCCATCTTCATATGCTTGATCCAATCAATAGGACTGGGAGTCACGCCAGCCACTCGCCTTACGAACTAGATCCTCAATCAAAATTAAAAATTGGGTGAGTTGCGGCGTATTCGCATGTAACCAATCATGCTCTCCTCTTTCCAGTCAGTCATTATGGGGTCTATGACGGTGCTCACATTCATTGAATTGCTTTCTTTTCTACATACAATCCACCAATTTCCCATGGTATTGACATGATTTTTTGTTTGTAGAAATAAGAAGTAATGGTTCCACGGAACTTCCACTTCCACCGTTGTGAGCCAGTTTTTTCTATAAGCCCTGACGCGCCTACGGGGCAAAAGGCGTGAAGCGTAAAATGGTCCATGTGTATGCCCACGTTGTCCAGGAAAGCATAGCTGAAAGGGCAGTGAATTAACTCACCGATACCTGACGATCTTCCACCAGCTAACATGCAGCCACAGTACCAGCCAATGTTGTGGAGGCCCACACACAACACTAGTTCGGCTAGCCTCCATGCAAAGGGGCCTTGTGCCTGCGACTGCATGTTGACTGCCAGAAGATTCGGGTACCCTTGGTTTAGCATGGTAGTGCCGACCGTGCAGGATACATCTACATAGACCAAGCCAGTAAAATGAAGGACAGCTGTGAGCTGACTGGCAGTAACTCTACGTAAACAATACGTGAAGAGTTGAAATAATAAGCCTGTGAAAGGCTAGCAAAGGGGAGGATAGTGCTACGAACATTCTCAGGAAGAAAGCTGACCCGGTGCAACCATATTTCGCTTTCACATTCTACGCACATTCTGATGTGAAAATCTGGACCAGCATAATCATACTTTGCTCCCACATTCAACATGCTAGGGTGACAACACCAACATCCGATTTCAAGCAGTGAGTGGCTGGTTAAGAGAAGCTGGGTAAAGTTTGGAACCACAAAAGCCGGCATTACTAACAGCGGCGTCCGATACCTTCCAGAGTGCACCCTAGTTTCACTTCACGAGGCCAAAAGTGCAAGGCCTCAGTACTGGTTCATACAGAGAGACCAAGTTACATTACAACAGTCAAGCCTCACCAAAGCCACATTGCCTGGCTGCAAAAAAGATGAATCAACAAATATTACAGCAACTAGACCTGACAGCCTTACAATACAAAGAGTTTATTCCACATGATACAAGTAGTCACACTGTCGACAAAATGCGAATCGGGTGACAGGAAAAGCAGCTTAAACAGGTTCAAAAGACGTCATATGCAAACTGAGACTCAACTGAGGACTGAGTTGAAGAAGCAATAGGATCCTCAAGGGCCTAAACCCTCTCCCCATCTTAACCAGAACTTGGAAGCTGGAAAACTTTGGATTGAAAACCAAGGTGAGAAGCATACAAGTTAAAATAACTGAACTTTGCTAGCAATTTTAACTCGGATCCTGCGGCTGACGGCCCCTGCAGACACCCTCAGTAATGTGCCCATGGCCGGGAAAGTGTATTCAGGAAAGAAGGTGTGAGAGAGGACATGGTTTACGAGGCAAGGGATGAGGTAAGAAAAGAGGATGAAAGTATTTACCTGGAAGAATATTTTGGCCCTTTCCTCCCTCTCGGTAATGCCTCGGCTCCGGGAAAAACCTGGTATGATGTTTCTTGTGGACAACTATGAATGTGATCGCTGGAGAATACCTTCGTCCAGGCTCATCAAAGATAGAAAGAGCCTGCCACACAATTCACCCATGAAGAGTCAGTCCACTCCTTGCCAGGCCTTCGGATAGAAAGTTCAATGGGGGCTTTTACGGAAAAGGGTGATCGATTGCCACTTCACTAAGGCAGCTGTTTGCCTTGATGCACTGCCTCCATTACACCCACTTGAGAAGGTGGCAGTGCATTACTGTAGAGCTCTCCAGCAAGGAGATGACAAAGAAAAGAAGAAAAAGAAAAAGAAGGCATGACAGGAGCAGAACCAATGACTGCAGGTGGCAGTGAACCAATGACTGCAGGTGGCAGTGCATTACTGTAGAGCTCTCCAGCAAGGAGATGACAAAGAAAAAAAGAAAAAGAAAAAGAAGGCATGACAGGAGCAGAACCAATGCCCGCAGGGTATGAACAGGTCATGTGGCTGATCCGTTGGCTGCAAGCATCTCTCTGTTTGGAGCTGCATGAAAGCGGGTCGCAAAATCGCCCTTTGGAAGGTAAGATAAGGGAGAGCCAGTAAATTCAGGGCATGCAGCTCTAGTTAAACCACCACCATTTTTTCCCCACACTTGGCCTCCCACACCCTCCGGCTAGCATAGGCACGCACAAATGGTCAGCTTACCGGATAATCACAAGAGCTGACCACACCCCGAAGGCCCTTCCTGGCAATAGTAGTTTCGGGATTCTAGGCACAGGCAAAATCAAGCAACTCTTAAAAAGCACCTCAGCAACTGTGATGGTGGCTTCTGAACTGTTGAAAGGGTGTCAAGACTGAAACGTGATTCAGTGTACCAATTTCTGGGTGTTTCAGCTCACCAATTTCCTGTGTGTGTGTGTGTGTGTGTGTGTGTGTTTTAACCACCAATTTCAAAATGTTTTATGCAATTTAGTAATTTACAGCCAAACAACAGTACAACAGAACTAGTACATCAATCGTACAGAATTGGTCTCTGATGTACTCTTAATCACAAAGAGACTTAAGGTGCAACAGAAGTTCCCTCCTTACCCCTCGCCACGACCTCGTACAGTCCTACCTGTCGTATTGCGCTGAGCTCCACATTCAGCACTGCACCAAACTGGGACTCGCTCACACCATCCCTGCAAGGAATCATGTAAAACTTCTTTGAGTCAACTTGCCTGAACATAACTGCTATTCAAGTCCCGAACTCACATATTCTCTCAGAGAAAGACAGAGATCCGTTAAGAGCATTGGGACCATCCCCACCCACAGATGGCACCAAGGAAAGAGAAAAATTGTGGCAGAAGGATCGTCAATCCAGCAGATCAACTGAAAAAGGTCACCTAGATTGTTGTAGATCGTAGTGGTGGTTTTAAACCACTAGTACATGCCAGCCATCGACCGTGGGCCCCTTTCGGAGGCCGCCCGCCATGGATTTATTTCACCGACAGCGTGCGAGCCACCGAAATTTGTGGGGAGGCTCAATTGCACTGTCAACCTGGCTGGGGCCATGTACTGGTGCTTTGAAGCTTTGCTGACTGTGGAGACTTGCATCAGAATGATTCATTTGAAGTTCGAACACATGGAAGTCGCAGAGGTCTGTCACTCACCAGAAAACAAAGATGAAAACAGATATGCGAGAAGCCCAAAAGTCGATGACAAAAAAATCTATGGTAGATGCACAAACCGACCTACCCCGAGATCGTTGCAGAAGGCATTGTTGGCTTAAAAACCAAAATGTATTCGAGTGCTGTACATAATTAAGTGCTAAACTTTCAACAGTATACAATCAAGTTCGCCATTGATTGCTTACCTGTATATAATTATTCGCTGAGGCAAACAACCTCTGGATGTCGCTCGATACTCCTCAAGAACCTCCCTGCACAGAGCACAAACCAAGAGCAGTGTCAATAAGAGATCCACACTAGAGGCTACTTCAGAAGTCCAGATTCCATTCACTGTTTGTCGGCTTTTTTGACACACAGTATCGATACACCCGGGACGCCCTTGTGCCATTCCACCACTCAACTACTCTCCAGCTCAGCATCAACAATGAAAAAATGGCCAACTGTAATGCGCATTCACCAAAAAGAACTAGCACACCACTACTATCTCTAAGCCTCTTTTTCCGGTGGCAAATTTGGGCTGTGCACCAAGTCCAAAACGAACCCGCGCTCAAAACGAACTGGCGCAGCGCTCATTTTTTTTTTTCTTTTTGGCTAACACTGCAAACTGAAGAGGTCCAGGAGCCAGAGCCGCAAAGAATGCTGATGTCAACCAATTTGTTCCAAAAAAATTTGCCTCTGGAAGGAAGTGAAGATTTACACCGCAAGTGCACGGCCCCCGCCTTATAGAGAATTGGGAGTTGCCAACTCCGATTTTTTTGTGGCTCGGGGCTACTGGACCACAAAGGCTGGCGGTGCCAGCAAAAAAAGAAGAAAGAGTGCACCGCTAGCGGTTCCGAAAAGCTTGGCGCGCCTCCAGGCCCAGGTGTACTGGTGAACTGAAGGCCAAGAATATGATGCCTGTTCTTAGTATTGTGATCCCGACACCGGACACTTCCGAACTGTCTTCCGGACCAGTGTTTGGACCGGTCCGGACTGTCCGGTGATCCGCACATCACCGGACACCCGGACGTCACCGGACCCGGACAGTCCGGACCAGTACCAGGGGTGCACGAATATCCGGACCGAAAAGAAAAAAAAAACGGGGTGGGGGGGTTGGACAGGGGTGTTGGCAGGGGTGCACGCAGCAGGGGGTTGGACCGGTACAAGGGGGTTGGACCGGTACCCGGGGTCCACGCAGCAGAGCACGTGTCTTGGAGCAAATCAACAAGCACATTTAACTAGCAGACATGCAGAGTTGCAAACAGTGCAAAGCAGGCACAGGACTAAAGAAACAGAGAATTTTTTTTTTTGAAAAAAGTATGATTAACTTTGAACTTTGAATTTAGTAATTTAAGTTCACAACTTCATACACAACTTTGAATTTAGTAATTTAAGTTCAAACTTTGCAGTTCAATTCAGAATGTCAGAGTCTTCAGACTGGCAGCACTGTCGTTGCTCTCTCTCTCTCTCTCTCTCTCTCTCTCTCTCTCTCTCTCTCTCTCTCTCTCTCTCTCTCT